TTTGCCGCCTTCTTTCTTATAGTGCATGCATATTTAACTTTTTCCTGTACTGGTGGGGCTTTTTTGCTCCTTCTATTTTTTTATATAAACTGCAACTTATAAAGTTATAAAGGTTTATTTATTAAAAAAGCAACAAAAAGAACTAAAAAAAGAGTTGTTGTTATTTAATTGTATATATTTCCTTTTTTAACATGAAGGGAAAAGGGAAGAAAAATATTGTCTATCTAAATGCAGCATTATACGAGGAAATTAAGCACTTAGGGGGCTGGAAAAAAGATATTTAGAGGAAAATAAAATAAGTATGCAATTTATTTAATTATGTGTTCGTTTAAATATTTATTTTATCCTTAAAATTAGCAGTGAATTGCCTTTCCTTCTTCCTGCAACGCGTACCTGTGGCGGTAACAACGCCATATTCAATCTTGCACAAGCAGAAAAATGTCTGAATTTTGCCTTAAAATTAAAAACTGTAGACAAGTTAATTTAATTGTTTATTAATTAATTAATGTTTCTATTTATTTCGTAAGAACAACCCAACAAGCAGGCTTCTTATAAGGTATTTGCCTCTTTGGAGGCAACAACAACAACCCCTTACCTACCTTTTTGCTATTGTCTATTAAAAGCGGCACTTTTTGGAGAAACAATTTTCTTTTTATAAAATATTATAAATGTATTTAATTAAATTTAATTTAAAAATAAAAAACATTCAATAAAGAGAATAATTTCAAGGGAGATTTCTTACCGTATCCCCGAGGTCACCAGCCAGTTGCCGGTGTGCAGCTGCCTGTTGGCCATTTCGTCGCCTTTTCTGTGGAATATTTGCAGTTGTTTTGGTTATTATTTTGGATGCATAAATTGCATTAGTTATTTTCAATTATTGTGTGGGAAGAAGGAAGACAAAAGCAACAGAAAAAGGCTCGTTTCAGTAGGGAATTGGTTAAAGGCTCTTTTAAGGAAGCGCCTGCGACCGGCTAGGCCGCTGGGCCGCTCGAGTGCTGCTGCTGCTTACTGCTTATTTGATGGACTATTTTCTTTACTGTTTAGCCAAAATGTAATTAAGGAGCATTAACTTGTTATTTCATTCAATATTTGCATTTATTTCAGCTTTTTGCCTGTTATACCACGACAGATATCCGGGCGACAGCAGCGGCCGTAGCAACGGAAGGACACACAGCGGTGTAGAACGGCAATGATTGAAGGATTTTTCTCCTTTCTCTCTCCTAAAATGAATTTAGTTAAATATAAAACATAAAATTTAACTAAAATTCAAAATACTGCGGAAACAGAACGGTAAATCGCCGCGGCGGTGCCGCCACCAGCATCGCAACACCGTGCGTGGGCCTACTAGCCGTAAACCCTAAACCCTAAACCCTAAACCATAAACCCAAACACTATACCATAAAATCAAGGCAAATTCTTCACCTGTCGCAAGACACAGCAAGGGAAGAGGTTGTCTTCGCTGGAGGCCCCGTACGGAGGGAGGCCGCAACCGTTTAACATGCGATTCGGGCTAGGGTTTAGGGTTTGGGGTTTACGGGTTAGGGTTTTGTGTTTATGGTTTATGCTTTAAGAGAAACGCCTCGTTAGTTTCCACTGTCTTTCTTTTATGTTCCCCCAAGGTTAATATGAGCAAAGCGGCTTGAGTCCCCCGTTGCCTCCTGCGGAGCAGCAACAGCATCAGCAACAACAGCAAGGACAACACCAAACGCAGCAGTAGCAGCAGCAATAACAACAACAAAAGCATCAGATGCAGCAGCATCAATAACAACACCAAAAGCAACCGAAGCAGCAGCAGAAGGAACATTACCCTGGGCAGCACCAGCAGCGATAAGGCCACCGCCCAAAGCAGCAGCATCAGCATCAGCAGCAGCAGCAGCAGCTGTGACCTTCCGAGATTTTTAGTATTTCTTCCTTTTTCCCCTTTTTCTTTTCCTTGTAACCTTCTATTTGCCTGTATTTCTTTTGTTTCTCCAATTGATCGTCAAGACGGCAAAGGGGGGGCCCGAAGGGGCCCCCAAGGGGGCCCAATTGCCCGTTGTGCCTGTATAATACCTTAGCGCTATAGATGGCAGACACTTCTGCAGCAGCAGCTGCTGCAGCAGGAGCAGCACCTTCGGCTGCTGCTGCTGCTGCACCTGCTCTGGCCAGCATCAAACGGTCTGCTCAGCCTGAGCAGCCGGATGAAGGAACAGATCTTGCTGCGGCAGGTCTTGCTGGTGGAACACCTGCTGCTGCTGCACAGCAGCAGGAATCAGTAGGTGATGATAAGCGTCTCCACGGGGTTGGAGTAGGCGGACAAGGTTCTACTGGAGCAGAGCTGCACGGTGCAGCAGAAGCAACAGACGAAGCAGCAAGACAACCAGCAGGACCAGCAGCAACAGATGCAGCAGCAGGCGAAACTTCTGCTGTGTTCCGCCATCAACGAACAGCCTCAACCACCCCAGATGAGCTGCAACAGCAGGCAGCTCCCAGCAGCAGCGGCGGCGACAGCAGCAGCAGTAGCAGCAGCGGCAGGAGCAGCAGCAGCGGCAGCACCGGCGGCAGCAGCAGCAGCAGCAACTTAAACATCAAAGACATTGAGGCGATGGTTGCTGCAGTGGAGTTGGCGTTAGAGCTGCAGCAACCTCGCTCTTTGCTGCAGCCCGTTTCTCCCCCAGCAGCAGCAGCAGAAGCAGCAGCAGCAAGAAGAGAGTCAATGCGGCACCCAGCTATGCAGGCAGGAGCCCTTGCTGCAGCAGCAGGAACAGCAGCAGCAACAGAACTCCTCGCCCAGAGCTACATACAGCAGGCAGCAGGAGGTACAGCAGGAAGCAGTGGCTTGCATGCAATATCTGCAACAGAAGCAGCAGCAGCAACTGCTGCTGCTGCCCTTGCTGCAACAGAGGCCTTTCCGCATGCAAGCGCGAGCCGCTCTGGGCTTGTTGCATCGCAACTCTTCTTCATGCAGCAGCAGCAGCAGCAGCAGCAGCAGCAGCGGCAGCAACGGCAGCAGCAGCAGCAGCAGCAGAATGGAGACAGCATAATGCACAAGCAGCTGCAGTGTCTTCGTTTGCTGTTGCTGACTGGCTGCCTAAATCCCCATTGGAAGAATCATGCAAGGCCTCAAGTCTTCCAGTAATTCTGCTGCTGCTGTTGCTGCTGCTGCTGCTGCCCTTACTGCTGGCTGCTGCTTCTTGCTTGCTGCTTGTTGTCTGCTGTTTGCTGCTTTCTGCCTGCTGTTTGCTGTTTGCTGTTTGCTGTTGCTATTCTTGTCTCTGCAGCACATGTTGTTGTTCCTGTTTCTGATTTTATTTGCCGATGTGTACTTGTTGTTGCTGCTGTTGTTGCTGCTGCTGCTGCTGCTGCCAGGTTTCACTTTGCCCTGCTGCTGTCGGCATCAATAGAGCCTCTCTTTGACGCTTACATTTGCAACATCTTTTCTCCTATTATTAACAGCAGCATGGCTGAGAAACAGCAGCAGCAGCAACAACAAAAGCAGCAACAGCAGGAGCCACTTACTTTGGGAGCAGGATGCACTTCGGCTGTCGGTGGTCCCAGGTGGAGCAGCAGCAGCAGCAACACCGTGGGCAGCAGCAGCAGCATGGAAAGGATTAAGAGTGACGTAGATGCTGCGGGCCTTGGAGAAGATGTCTTAATGCGTCTGTTGAAGGATCCTCCCCGCAGCAGCACCTTGACTGTAAACTGCTGTTGCTGCTGCTGTTGCTGCTGCTGTTGCTGCTGCTGCTCGTCTTGCTTTGGTGCTGTCGGTTGTTTTCGTCGCAGTTTATGCTGTTGCAGAGAGAGTTGAACACTGGTAATCCTGCTGCTCCTGCTGTTGCCGCTCCTGCTCCTGCTGCTTCTGCTACTGGTGTTGCTCCTGCTGCTACTGTTGCTGCTCCTGCGTGCACAGGCTGCTGCTTCTGCAGTCTGCTCCGCCTTAGAATGGGTATTCGAAGCCTGCAGCGGAGCTGCAGAAAGAGGAGCAACTAACACCCACACGCTGGCTATCTGGGCGGCAGCAGCATTTAGCAGCAGCAGAAGCAGTAGCAGCAGCAAAAGCAGCAGCGGCGACAGTGCCCCTACAGTTCGTGCAGATGTGCCCCTGCCGGCAGTTGCTTCTGCTGCTACTGCTCCTACTAGGGGTGCCGCTGTTACTGCTGCTTGCCCTGCTCCTGCTGCTGCTGCTGATCGTGGTCCTGCCGTGTTTGCTGCTGAGTTTAGCAGAGACTTCGATTCCCTTTTGGGAGAAGAGCAGTCTGGAGGAAGGGGGAAGCAGACAGGTTTGCTGCTCCAGCATCCGCAGCAGACTCATCCGCTGCAGCAGCATCCGCAGCAGACAACACTGCTGCAGCAGCAGGGAACGCAGCAGCAGCAGCAGCAGCACCCATGCCGCATGCAGCAGATGGAGAACCCCGCGCTTGTGAAGGAAGATCCCATTAGTAGTTTAAGCCGAGAATTCGATGCAAGCGTTGGCAGCAGCAGCAGCAGCAGCGGTGGCGGCAGCAGCAGCAGCAGCAGCAACAACAACAACAACAACAACAACAGCAGCAGCAGCAGCAACAGCAGCAGCAGCACGACCGCCGGGGTCTCTACAGACCTTCTTGTTCGGACTCTCGAGTCTTTCTTAAGCAGTCGGAGGATGAAGAAAAGACCCGTTAGCAGAACTCTAAACCCTGAACCCTAATCCCCAAACCCTCAACCCTAAACGCCAAACCCTAAACTCTAAACCCTAATTTTAGTCCGTTACACCGTTTTCGTCAGGTGTGTTTGCTGCTGCAGATTGCAGGTGGTAGCCACCAAGAGGCGAAGCAAAGACACAGCATGGGGGGATCTTGTGCTACTGCTGCTGTGGCAGGGCGACGATCAGCTCGTATGGGCCGGGGGAGGCGCCGCCCTTTCAATGATCCTGCAGCAGAAGCAACAGCAGCAGGGCAACAGCAGCACCAGCAGCAGCAGCAGCAGAGACTGCTGCCTGCAGCAGCAGAAGACTACAGCGACACCAGTGAAGCCGCTGCTCACACTCTAGAGACACTTCAGCCCCCGTGAGGAAAGCAGCAGCAGCTTTTGCTGCTGTTGCTGCTGCTTTTTGCTGCAGTTGCCTGTCTCTCGGCTGCTGCTGCTGCCTTAAGCCGCTGAGGCCCTTGCTGATGTTGGATTTTGCTGCCTGTACCGCAGTTGCCTTCATGCAGCAGCAGCAGCAGCAGCAGCACCGGCACACTCTTCCTCGCTGCTGCTGCTGCTGTTGCTGCACAGTGCTCCTGTTGCTGTTGCTGCTGTCTGCTTGTTATCGTGTATGCACAGGTTAGGACTGCGGCCGGTAGTTCATGAGGGTTCCTCCAATCCATCAGTAGGAGTTACTTGCAGCTCTTCAGGAGCAACAGCTGCTGCAACAGCAGCAGTGGCAGCAGCTGCAGCAGAAGAAGAGGCTCCAGAAGAGAGGTGGCATTTTGCTGCTGGGGGAAGCAGCAGCTGTAGCAGCCGCTCAGGTTCAAGCAACAATCCATCTCCGAATCTTGCCGCTCTGCTGCTGCAGGGAGAAACAAGCACAGCAGCAGAAGAGCTACCAGCAGACAGAGAGAGAGAGTACCTTCTCTGCTCCGCTGCCCTGCAACAGCAGCAACAGCAGCAGCAGCACAAAGAGCAGCAGCAGCAAGTAGCGCAAGCAGGGCAGCTTTCCGCAACGCGCGGTAGCTTGCAAGGGAGCTCAATAACAGGCCAGCAAGTGCAGCAGCAGCAACAACAGCAAGAAGAACAGCCGCAGCCTGTGGCTGCTGCTACTGCTGGTTATTCACTTAAAGCAGCAGGGAAGGAAGAGGAGCACCAGCAGGAGCAGCAGCAGCCCAGCAGCACACACGGACAGCAGCAGCTTCACCAGCAACAACAGCACCATCAGCCACAGCAGCACCAACAGCAACAGCAACAGCAGCAGCAGCAGCAGCAGGAAGGCTCTGTGCAAATAACCCGCAGTGGGCGGAGAGTAACATTTGCTTTTAATGTGTCAGAACTTGCAAGAGACGAGGAGAGATCTCCAGCAGCAGCAACATCGACAGCAGCAGCAGCAGCGACAGCTACGGATGGTCGCCGCGCTGGAAGAAAATCAAACGCGGCCCAGGGGGGTCCATAACAGGTAACAGCAGCAGTAGAAACTGCAGCAGCAACTGCAGCAGTGGTTGCAGCAGCAACTCACGCAGCAGCACCGCCACCAGCAACAGCAGTAGCAATTTCCTTAAGCTATACTGCTGCTTATATACTACTGTTGCTGCTGGTGTTGATGCTGCCCTTGCTGCAGAAAGCAGCAACAGCAGCAGCGCAAACAGTTGCAGGGAGGTGCTGCTGGGCCTCGAGAGCACAGGCAGCAGCAGCAGCAGTTCGGCACAGCAGCCATAGCTAAATAACAATAATAACGCATCGCCAGACCAGCGGTGACGGCAGCAGCAGCAGCAAAAGCAGCAGGAGCAGCAGATGTCGTCGCAGCAATCTAAGTTGTACTAAATGGATAGTATTTAGAGTTATTGTATAACAAAAAAAGTGCCGCTCAAGGGGCAGCAGCAGCAGCAGCAGAGCCGCAGCTGCTGCTGGAGAGGAGCTGCTGCAGCTGAGCAGCTGCTGCAGTAGCAGCAGCAGAAGCAGCAGGTTTTGCTGCCCTTATCTAACAATACGTCTAATATCCTCCCTTTTAGTTTTTCCATCTTCCGTGACTTCCCGCCTCGTAGTAATGGGGGAAGGGAGCTGAAAGAAACTGCGCAACTCCCTCTCCTGCAACAGCAGCAGCAGCAGCAGCAGAAACAGCAGCAGCAGGCAACAGAAGTAGCAATGGGGCCAAAGAATGGAGGAGCACATAGATACATGGAAGCTGCAGCAGAAGAAGCAGGAGAAACATCGAGCCAAGAGGCAACAGCAGCAGCAACTGATAAGTAGTATGTATACATGCAAAACATACCGTCATCATCTGCTGCTGCTGCTTATGTTGCTCCAGCAGCTCATGTATTCTTCCTCTACATCTCCATCCATATAACGGCGGCGGCAGCGGTATAATTGCTGCTGCCGACAATGCTTTTGCTGCTGCAGCAGATAAAGATGCACCAGCAGCAAGCCAAAACTTAACACGAGAGAAACGAAGACGCAGTTCAGACACCCCACGGCTGTCTCCTGCAGCACGAGACACGTAGCTCCCCAACACCTGCACACAGCAGCAGCAGCAGCAGCAGCAGCAGTTGCAGGTGGTGCTGCCCGAGATAGCAGCATACAGGTTGCATGCAGCAACTGAAGCAAAAAAACTTGTTGTTGAGAACAACCCCACAATGTAAATAATAATTAACAGGTGCAGACATCTGCTGCTGGTGGTGCAACACTAGTAGCAGCAGCAAATGCAACAAAAGCAGCCGCAGCACCTCCATGTGTTTCCCGTCTTTTGGGTCCCTCTGATTTGCCGCCACAATCTTAAAAAATCTCCTACCCTTCGTACCCATAACCTGCAGCAGCAGCAAGTGCAGTAACAGCAGCAGAGGCAAATGCAGTAGTAGCAGGAGTAGTAGTAGCAGTAGCAGCACACAGGCAACCGCAGCAGCAGCACATGAAGCAGTAGCAACAGAAAACACAGACACGTTAAGGAAGACTCTCTGCGAGCGACAGCGCTGCAGTGCATGCAACTGCAGCAGTCGCAGCTCATAACCGCAACAGCAGCAGCAGCAGCGCAAGTGCTGCTGAATTACCTGCATGCGAATGCGGGGAGGGCCCCGTTCCTTCGAATAGAAGGGCAGGAACATGCGCCGCACCATTTCCGCTGCTGTTGATGCTGCAGCAGCAGCCGCTGCTGGTGGTGCTGGCGACGATACTACTACTACTGCTACTACTACTACTATTTACAAACGCTGCCGCTGCTGCTGCGCTGTTAGAGGGCTTAGCCGTGCGTGCTGCTCCCTATGCAGCTGCTGCCCTGCTTGTTGCTTCTATCTGCTGTCGCTGCTACTCCTTTATTGTTGTTTGCAGCTGTATGCGATGTTGTAATGGTGTTGTCGGTGCAGCAGTTCCGGCTGCTGTCGTTGTTGTTGCCGCTGCTCCTGTTGCTTCTGCTGCTAAGGAGAGAGGCAGGAACGGAGTGTTAATGACAGCAGCAGCAATTTAGGCTCCTAATGTGCCCGAAGGTGTAGGCCTCGCTGCTGCCGCTGCAGCAACAGCTGTCCTGTTGCTGCTGCTGCTGTCGATGAGTCTACACCTGCTCATAAGAATTTCCTTCCTTCAGCAATAGAAATAGTTTTCTAACAAACTACCTTTCCTAAGTTTATAGTGAGACACTGCGACAAGGACAGCAGCTGCAGCAGCAGCAGCAACAGCAGCATGCCTCGAGATATGGGGCCGTAGGAGGTGTGGCGGCGCAGCAGCAGAGCAGCGCAGCAGCAGCAGCACAAGAAAAACGCGGCGGCAGCAGCAGACTTTTACATTATTTACTTGATTAATCGAACAAATCCCGTCTGACGGCAGCAGTAGCTGCTGCTGTTGCTGCTGCCAACCCCCAGGCAGCAGCAGCATCAGCAGCAGCAGCAGCGGTCTCAGCAACACAGCGGCCTCATTCTGCTACACCCTGAGGTTTTGCCAATATATTGCGAAAAGTATTGTTTGAAGGCTCCGGGTGTGAAGCCGCAAGAGCAGCAGCTACAGCAGAAGCAGCAGCAGTAGCTGCAGCGGATGCAGCAACAGGAATACCGGTAGCAGCGCACGAACCGCTGCAGTAGCCACCCCCTGGAGACGTTGCCCGCACTTACAGGACGCGAAGCAGCAGCAGCAGCAGCAGCAGCTGAAGAAGCAGCGAGAAAAGCAGAGGGGTGCGGCAGCAGCAGCCGCAACCGCAGCAAGAGCAGCAGCGGCAGCCGCACCGGCCCTAGATAGCGTGCAGCACAATGAAGCGCACTGCAACGAACAGCAGCAGCAGCAGCCTTGGCAGCTGCAGTGATACCTCTGGCCCCCCTCAGAAACTTCAGTGCCTCGGCAGCAGCGGCAGCAGCTGCAGCAACAGCTCTAGCGTAAGCCGGCAGATTTCCGTTGTAGATGGGTCCTGTCCCATTGCTGCTGGTGGGCCTTCGCAGGCTACAGGAAGCACAGCAGCATCAGCCACAGGAGCAGCAGGTGTTGCTCGCAGCAACAGCAGCAGCAGCAATAAGGTTAAAAGCGTTGGGCCCAAAGGAGGGAAGCAGCTAAACCCTGCGCGTTTTACAGATACTTACGCCCTCCAGGTAAACCCTAAGCCCCAGACCCTAAACCCTTGCTGCAGCACCACTTCGCACTGACCGCAACTTGATGAATGTCTGACTTGGGGCAGAAAGTTCTAGGTTTAGGGTTTAAGGCTGATTAGGGTTTAAGGTTGATTAGGGTTTAGGGTTTAGGGTTTGTTAGGGTTTAGGTTTTAGGGTTTAGGGTTTGTGAGTTCAGTTTCCCAACGCTCTATCAGCAAAGGCGATTGTGTGGGCAAAAGATCCAGTCACACAATTCTGGAGGCCCTGCAAAATTATACATGCCAGGTGCGTCTGCTGCTCCTGCTGCTGCTGCAGCTATTGTTGTTGCTGCCGCTGTTGCTGCAGGTCACGTTGTTGTTTCTAGTGCCACCCTGTTGCTGTTGATGCTGTCGGTTTGACGGCTCCTTGGGGGCTGCGGCAGCAGCTGCTGTTGTTCGTTTGCTGTTGTGCTTTTTTTGCTGCAGGCCGAATGCGGAGCGCCGTGCAGCAGCAGCAGCGGCGGCAACAGCAACCGCACCTGCCTCAATAGGAGGAGCCGCAAGAAAAAAAGGCCCGTTTCCCTTGCGGGGTGCTGCAGCTGCGGCAGCAGCGGCTGCTGCTGCTGCCGCTGCACCCTCGCAGCAGCAGCAGCAGCAACCCCTGGGTGACAGCAGCATTGCAGCAGATTCAGCAGCAGGTGTTGCTGGCAGCAGCGGCAGCAACTGGTTTGAAGGAAGCGCTTTCGCGGAAGCAGCAACAACCCTTAAACCTAGTGACTATGACTACTATGTTCATTTTCTGGGCCTCGATAGACGGTAAACCCTAAACCCTAATTTGACCGTAAACCCTAATTAAACCCTAAGCCCTAAACTAAGTTTTTCTTATAGTTGTCGATGGTTTTTCTCTAGCGTTTGATTTACAAACCCTTTGTTTTCTCGTGTATTCGGCTGCAACCGAGGATACCTAGGGTTTAGGGTTTAGGGTTTGTGGGTTTATGGTTTGTTGTGAAGGTTGGATTGCTGGCGTTGTTGGGGAGATTTGAGGGAAACTCGCGAAGAATTGCCGGCGGATTCTCCAGTGGCAGAAGAAGAAGAAAGCGAGGCGGATGATGAACATGCAGGTAAGGGGGAAGAGAAAAAGAGAGGAAAATAAAGGGACATAAAGGGGTTTAGAGGGTTAAGTTGAGTAAAAATTATATTTAGTTTGCAGAATAATCTATAAAAGTAAACAATTCAGCTCCTACTGCGCTGCCTATGCATATATACCTGTATCCTCTTGTATCCAAATAAATACATATAATAAATATGAATACAAAAACATAACAATGATTATAAACCTATATATAAATATGTATTTATTTTTTGTATTTTTTTTTACAGGCTTAGATGAGGATTATTTACGTGAACATGAGGAAGCAACACGTTTAAAGACTGTAGAGAGAATTTCCATTGGTCCTCATCTAGTTGATTGTTGGTATTTCTCTCCTTATCCTGCAGAAGTACAAGATGTACCTGTTCTATTCATATGCGAATTCTGCCTATCCTTCTTTGTGTAAGCATAGAAGCAGATCCTGCTGCGGCTGCTGTGGTGCTGCTGTTGGAGTTCCTAGAGTCATGCCTATTCTGCTGCTGTCGCTGTTGCTGCTGCTAGTGTTGATGGTTGTGATAGTGTGCCGTGGAAATCGGGAACTTATGTTGCTACTGTTGCTGCTGCTGCAGGCACGAGAGCGAGCTGCAGCGGCATGCGCTGTTCTGCGAATGCCGTCATCCACCGGGAAATGAAATATATCGGTGAGTTTTGCCTGCAACAACTGCAGCGGAAATGATGGAAAATAGATTAGGGTTTAGGGTTTATGGTTTAGGGTTTAGGGCTTGTGGGTGGATTTACAGGGATGACAGGGTTTCAATGTTTGAAGTTGACGGGACTTACTTTAGGGTTTACTGCGAGAATTTGTGTTTCCTCTCCAAGTTGTTTCTTGATCACAAGACCTTGAGGTTTGTCTACCGAGGGTTTAGGGTTTAGAGGACACTTCTGTGTTTGTTGTCTCATTGGGTTTGGATTTGAGAAGACGCTTACTTGTATCTTTTTAGTGTTGATTCAGTGGGCTTAGGGTTTATTAGGGTATGTTAGGGTTTAGGGTTTAGGGTTTGTGGTTTGTGTTTAGACACCCTGTGAATTTATTTGTATTTTATGTTATGACGGAGTACGACAGTAAAGGGCATCATATAACGGGGTACTTCTCTAAAGAAAAACACTCAAAGAATAATCTTTCTTGTCTCCTCACTCTTCCTCAGGTATGCTGCTGCTGCTGCTGTTGCTGCTGCTGTTGCTTTTGCTGCTGATGGTGGCATTACTGTTGCTCGTGCTGCTGTTGTTTTGGCAGCTTTTGCTGCTGCTTCTTACAGGTCATCCTACCTTTCCTGCTGCAGCTGCTGCATGCGTATGTAGGCATGTATGTATGCTGCTGCTGCTGTTGCTGCTGTTGCTGCAGCATCAACGCAAGGGTTACGGCAAGTTTTTGATAAGTTTCAGTTATTGTTTATCTAAAAGGGAGAGAAGATCGGGAGGACCAGAGAGGCCTTTGTCTGATTTAGGGAAAGCAACTTATTTCTCTTATTGGACGGAACAATTATTACAATTATTACAACCACCAAGGAATAGAGTCTCCTTACAGGTCTGCTGCTGTTGCTGCTACTCGGGCTGCTGCTGTTACTGTTGCTGATGATGATGCTGTTGCTGCTGCAGTGGGTGTTTGTGTTCTTTTACTTCCTCGTGCCGCACCTCAGGCGGTGCTGCTGCTGTTGTTGCTGCCGTTTGCTGCCCGCTCCTCCGAGGGGATTCACTTGCCGATTGTAGCATCATGCCACAACAGCAGCAGCAACTGCAGCTGCTGCAGCAGCAACAGCAGCAACAGCGTATATGTCTGTGCTGTTGTAATGTATGTTATAGGAATTATCAGAGGCAACATCAATAGAGTTTCAAGATGTGGTGGTTTGTTTAGAGAAGCAAGGAGTGCTGCAGGTAAAGGGAGATTGCTGTTTCTTGCTGCTGCCACCAGAGAAGATGCAAGCGCTGCAGAAAAGTGTGGGGCGGCCATCAAGGCCCGTGCTGCAGCACGCGCTGCATTGGGTACCTTATGATTACTATACTGCTCCCTTAGAACCACTGCCGCAGCAGTAATAAGACTTAACCCAAAGGTTTTTGCCTCTGCTGCAACACATGCAGCAGCAGCGTGAGCAGCAGCAGCAGCATAAGCACCAACAGCACTAACAGGACGTGTAGCAGCAGAGCAACAGCACATGCGCATCCACCAGCAGCAGCATAGACGGCAATGATGGGTGCTGCTGCAGCAGGCTAGAGTGGTGGTAGTGGCCTCCGCCGGCTGTTTTGCAGCAGATGCCATTGCTGTTGCTGCTGCTGCTGCAGTATGTCTTGGGTTTGATTTCCGCATGTAATTTGCGCAACATCCGCGCAGCGGATTTTGTTTTTGTCTTTTTTTATTCTTTTTCGATTTAAATTTTATTTATTAAATTGAATTTAATAAATAAATGCAACTAAAAAGATAAACGGGATTAGGAGATAAGATAGCGTCTCTCGTCAAGACAGTTTACGTCAGCATCACCGGCTTCAGCAGCTGCAGCAGCTGCTGCAGGAGCAGCAGGAGAAAGAATGTCCACAAAGAGTCGCACATAGAGCAGCCAGATAAACAACAAAGAAAAGAAGGGACCTTAGGTGTATGTAAAGGTAGTAAATATACTTGTTTTGCCTACCTTTTTGCTTGTAAGAGCAACTAAAACAAATTAAAGGGTTTCTTAGGGGAGAGAAGTAAATAAATCGTTTTATTAAGATGAATGCAAGACAAAACGATAAAAATTTAATTTACGTCGATTGTATTCCTTCTTGCTGCTGTAGTCTACTGCAGTCTGCTGCAGCAGCAAGAGTATCGATACTTAAAATAACGATAAACACACGGCACGGTGTATGTCTTAGCCAAGCCGCAGAAAAATTAGGTACATTTTATGAAATACAGAACAACTATATTCAATTAAATGAAAATAATAAAGAAAATAAGGAAGAATCGAGTATTATTCTTCTCCGATGCTCGTGTGTGGCTTGCTCGCATCGTTACACCAGCACCAGCAACAGTTGGCTGCTCTTGTCTGTGGAGCAGCAGCAGCAAGGGGCTTTTTCTTCCCTCTTTTGTTAAAAAGTAGTAATAAATGGTAAATAAATGAATTATTATTATATTAAGTATTATTTCAACTTTTATATTCCATAAAAATTAACTTTTAAGGACTTTTTCTTCCCTTAGATTAGTTACAGTGCAGCAGCAGCATGCTGCTGGTGCTGCGGTGGGGTGAGACGCGATGCAGCGATGCTGCGGCGGTCTGTGCAACTTTCTTTTATCTTTTGTCCGTTCTTAATATAATTATCTATAATTTTTGTTCATTAGAATCAAAATAATTATACAAATATATATTTATATCCATAGAAAAGTGATTTTTATGGCGGTACATCCATAGATGCTGGCGCAACCACCGGGCACTCTGCAACACAGCAAGGAATCTTGTGCCCATTCTTCTTCTTCACCTTATCTCATCTTCTTCTATCTACTTTGTTGCATGCGCAGTTTTTGTTTTTACTTTCATCTCTTTTTTATTCTCCTTCCTTTTTATAGGGGAATAATTGCTTCCCCAATGATTGCTGCTAGCAACTACCCAATACAGTAGGACGACAAAACTTGTCGTTGTCCAATCAATTGGCTTGTTTTATGGCTTCACCTATTATATTGTAAATTAATTCTAATATTATGCTGTAAAGGAAGGCTGCTATTATTATGATTGCAGCAGGTGTTGCAGTAGTAATAGCAGCAGCAGCAACAGCAGGCGACCGACAGTATAGGAACTTCTGCGCGCTAGCAGATGCTGAGCTATTAAAATCTCAAGTTTTATAAGCGTGATTATTTTACTTGTCATTCGTTTTTATGATCCATCACTGAGGTGTACATACACCCTACGATTTATATGAGGCAGTGTGCAGCATCGATTGTGTATGCATTGTCTGACTCTTGTTCATCATAAACATTATTATATCTTTTTAATTCGTTCTTTTTAAAGATATCGTAATATAGATAATTATTTTCTTTTACTTATTAATTATTATTACTTTTTCCCCCATTTCCCCCTACATTCTTTTTTTTCTTTTTATTTGAATGTTGGGGTCAACGGTGCCTCTCGAAACTTTCCCGCCTCCCTTTCCTCTTCCTTCTTCTCTTCCTTCTCCCCTTCCTTCTCCTTTCCCTCCTTTGTCACCAAGAAAACCTTCTGCGCCCCCTCATCTTCATTTAAGTGAACATAATAATAATAGTAAGGGAATATCTACAAGAAGAGATAACCGTAGACTACAACATAGTAGGTGTGTAACATTTTTACTATGTGTTTTATTAACCGCAATAATTATTCAATTTAATCGTCATGGATTTGTTCGTTCTTCCTCTATAAGAGAAATACTTCGGCTGTCTGTATGTACACCCAAAGAGGAAACAATAAGTGCAGCAGAAGCAGAAGCTGCAGAAGCAGCAGCAGAAGCAGAAGCTGCAGAAGCAGCAGCAGTAGAAGCAGAGTTGCCGCCTCCACCAGCAAAAGAAGGAAACAGCGATAAAAGCCCTCCTCCTCCTTCTGCTGATGCTCCAGATGCTGCTGCAGTTGCAGCAGCACCTGGAGCAGCATCTGCAGCAGCAGATGAAGACGAAAAGAAGAAAACCGGCATTATAAAGGGGACTAAAGGGACACATATTCCTTATACAGACAAAGGACTGTTTTATTTTTCTTCCCCTGAAGGACCTAAAGAACCTGATTCTCCTTTACAGAAAAAACGAAAGGAATTCACGGGACTACCTGATGTGGATGAGGCAGAAGCAGCGATGCCTACAGCAGCACTAAGAGGGAAAGCATTTCTTGCTAATTGTGTTGCTGTAAGAAAACAAGAAGAGGAGGAGGAAGAAGAAGGAGACCGATCTGATGAGGAAGAAACAGTAGCAACAGCAACAGCAGAAGCAGATCCTGTGCTAGTTGCAGTATCGAAGTCTTTCTCTGATGGGAAGAAGGAAGATATTATTGGCTCTGTTGTTACTATCGAAGAGACAACTCCTTTAGATGCTTCTTTACCGGTGGGAGCCTCCTCTCGTTCTTTAAGGGTTACTCGTGTATTAGGGAGGGGAGTAAGTAGTATAGTAATAGAAGGAATAGATATAAAAACAGAGGAGGTTTTTGCTATAAGGGTACAAGTATTAGAGAGACTTCAGCTGTCGGAGAAACAAACATGCAATCTGCTGCAGCAGGCAGCAGCAGCAGAAGAAAGCTGCTTAGTACGTGCAGCAGCAGATGTAGGTGCTGCTTGTGCAGCGGCAAAGAGAGGGATAATGGTACCTCTATACACTGCAAAGATGGGGAAGGGAAGTCCTTCTGCATTCGTATGGGGTAATATGTTTATTAATACTAAGGTACAGCTACTGAAGAGATTAAGGGGGAGTGTTAGCGATATAGTACAAAGAAACTGGCGGCTTCCCCCTGAATCTAAGTTGTACATAGCAAGACGCCTGCTGTTGCTTGTGCTGCACCTACAAGCAGCAGGTATCGCACACAATGATATACATTTAGGTAATTGTTTTATGCTTCCTGATGGCTCCTTTTTATTAGGGGACTTTGGATCTAGTGCTCCCTTAGGCGAAGCCCTTGGGGAGCTTACAAGGGTAACCATGGATTATGCAGAGCCGCAGCTGCTGCTAGATCTAAGTCGCTTTCTTAATGCGAAGGATTCTTCTGATGTTGTATTTGCTAACATAAAAAGCGATCTTTGGTCCTTAGGTGTTGTGCTGTATGAATTGTTTACCGATGGGAAGCTGCCGTATGCCCTTGCAGGCGTACGCAATGACTTCGGCGCGTTGCAGTCATTCGCACAACAACTTCTTAAGAATGATTCTGCTGTCGAAGAAGCAAAAATAAATAATTTAAGAGAACTACATAGAGCAGAAGTACCAGAGAGATGGCGCCAATTAATCTGCTTGCTACTTGATCCGCAACGCCATCATCGCGTCTCATGGGACGATATCACAGCAAGGTTTACCGATCTGTTTTTTGGGTGATATCGGCTTAGAACTGCTTCCTTGTATACTTTATATTCATTGAATTCAATTTAAATATATGTAGATATATAAACATATATATAAATACATATATATGAATTGTGTAAATATATATAATACGTAGCGGCAGAACGGGAGAAAAATGCATGCGTGTGTCATTGCTTTATATCTATATATGGATTATGCAGTTCCCGTTCAAGTTCTTTGTCAGTCGCGCTCCCTTCATTTAAGCTGCATGCATGCAGCTTCTCTTCTATTTATCAATCTCTCTTTTGAATCGGATTCTCGTGTTTCACTTGAACAGATCAATAAGAGGGAATAATTTGTGTAAATGAGTTTGCAGTTGCATACATCAACTCCCTTCACAGAGAAAAAACGGCGCTAAAAAGACGCCAAAGTGATGCAGTACCTCATTTGTGCATGTGCTGCATTCACTGGTTGCGTCTTGAGGTGTTGATGTGTGTCCACGCCTCCGCTTGTTAAAGCCGAGCCACCAGTTTTTATACATGGTGCGTTCTTGTCATTGTAGGCCGTTCGCTGCCTCTCTTATAGAGAGAGCGGAGCTCATCGTGGCATGGGCTTGCAGCATTTTTATGCCTTTATTTTTATTAAACGAGAGAAACCTGTTGCAAAGCAAGAGGCTCGATGTTAGCCGGGAATATCCAGCGGTCGATTGTAGGCGTTGCCCATAAACAAAGACCCCTGGTAGTAATCGCTTTGCAAGAAAATCAGGCAGTGTACAAATATGTATTTCTGTCTCTGCGGCCGCTTGCAGATAGCCGATTTTGTTTGTTTATCACGGGAGCACGAGCAGCCCATAATTGAGGAGAAACAGGCGCACAAGAAGGATACGGCTAGGTGATAGGCAGCGCCAATCAGGATACGATAGCTACCTGTCATTGACACAAGCTACCTACCTAAACACAGCTAGCAGTTAGGGAGAGGGGAAGTCGTCCCTATCAAACACGCCGTGTTCTATGTTAATATGTTACTTGTTAGTGCACGAGGAATACGAGAGCATCGTCAATTCTTATTGTAACTTCCTTTCACATTAGTGCACCTGCAGGCTTTCCGCCGTCAGGGCAACGCCTGTGTTTGAAGACACAACAACTCACGGAGGGCAGTACTGAATCAAATGGTATAAATTCATGATTTGAAGGTTGCATGCAAAGGTGACGGCCGCCATTAAATGGATTCTCTGCCAACCCTTGAAAACAACCGAAATAATAATACTTTGTTAGCCTTAACAGGCCATAACAGGGCACTCAACAATATATGGGGAACACGCACATTAAAGCACGGGATCCACTTGCCCTTACAACAGGGAGGATGACAGTAATCTATATACGGGCAAGTAGATCCTGTGCTGCAATGTGCATGTTCATTTTACTTATCGATTTTCGTTTGCCTGCTGCTGAACGTCTTTCCCGGGCACGACGGCCGAACACAATCCGACAGCCACTTAACTGAGTAAAGAAATATTTTATTATTTAATTGATATTTGTTGAGCACGGAAGCATTCTGTAGTGCCTTATTTACGTGTACTTCGATATTTTTACATTGAAGTCTGGCAGCAGTTCACCATTGCACCTTTGTGTTGGTGGGAGTGGTAGTTGCGAGTAAGCAACCTCTGCCCCCCCTCAAACACTTTACTTCAATATATTCAGCATTTCAACTTCTTACAATACCGGCGCAATCAGATAAATTGAATCATGCAAATGTACGTGGAGCAGTGCAACCCGGAACTGCACTGCATCCTTTCCGTATCGTGCTTCCAACTTCTTATCCCATGACGCATCTACACTCTTCTACTCGTTTTCTTGCAAAGTAGAGAGTTAGCTGTCGATGAACTACTGAATCAGAATGCCCGGTATGCCTGCATGCGGCATGCCGCTAAACCAGAGGAAAAAACCGCCTTCAGTGCGGCACCACAAGCTGTTACGCTCACAAAAGCAGTTGAAAATAAGTACTAGAAGGAGAAGAATTCAATTTTCACACCCCCCTCTGTCATCTATGGCAGCTCTGTGAATGCAGGGGATCTTCGCACTAATTGCAAGGGGCCCGTGCCCGTGCTGAGCGTTGCGTCGAAGGTGGCAGTGGTGCAGTGGCAAGAGGAGCATTAGAAAGGCCCCTTTCAAGTACAGAAGGAAAAATATGGGCTTCTACTTGTGCAATTCATGCACGAATACAAATTCCGGTGTATACGTTCACTCGTTGGCAGCCGCACGCACACAACAAGTGGTCTCGGCGGCCGCGCCGCGCAGCAGCAGGGCTCCCGAGCGGGAAGGAGCTTGTGTTGTTTCGTGGCCATCCGGCCGTTCTCTTTTGTTTTTGTTCCTTTTTTTCGGCCGAAGTCGGCCGATTATTATTTCCTTCGAGTGTCTCGTTGCCATGCGCGCCTCAGCAGCAGCACCAGGCGGGTAGGTTTGCTCTGTTCGTCTGTGCAGGCCGCTCCACAGTGGTTGTTTGTTTGCTCTCTGCTTCTCTTTCTTCAACTTTCTTGCCTTCTGTGTTGGCGCATTTCGACCGAAATGCAGCCTTACAGGGCCTCTTCTGGCTTCGCGGGGGGCCCCGTTTGTGAAGTGGCGGCTTGGAAGGGCCCCAACAACAGAGGAACTTTCAAAAGCTTCGGAGAAGTGAAGCATCCTTCAGCAGCATCGGGGCCTCCTTTCCCTCCACCTGCTCGGGTGTGTGCAGAGTCAGCCCCCACATCTCACTGGAGCCCCACTCCTTGCCGTGGGCCGCCTCCTGCCCCTCCAGGGCCTCCAGGGCCCCCTCGTCGGGGCCCCCCTTCAGGTTGGGGTCCCCCCCCAGACTGCCGCAATGGGAGGCCAGGGCCTCCTCCGGCTTTTATGCAGCCGGACTTCCACCCAGAGGCCCCCGGAAGTAGGGGGGATGGCATAGGGCCTGGGGTGCCCGTGTACCAGAGCGCCCCTCCTTGCCCTCCCCAGCGATCTTGGGGAGCAGCACATGACCATTCAGCAGGAAGGAGTAACCACTTCATGTCGGGAGCCCGTGGAGGGGGACCCCCTAAGGACAGAGGGCCCCCGTCGGACCGCCGACCGGGTCCACCGTCTCATCTCGGGGCAAGTGGAGACAGCCCCTGGATGACCATGAAGGACAACCCACACTCTGGAGATGCGGCGTCATCTTCAGCATCAAAGGAAGATATGCCTTGGGGCTCCCCTCTGGCATATGACAGCGCTCATCATCAAAGGGGAACGGGAAGCGCTGCCGGGGGAAGCCACGGGGCCCCCGGGACAGGTGGGGGCCCCCGATCTTCTTTTGGGTTTCCCCCTCCCTCATCGCAAAATGCAGAGCCTCATTTTGGCCGTCTTGTGCATGACGGGGGGCCCAGGGAGGCAGCCGCAGGCACTTCGTTGGGCCCTCGGGCTCGGTATATGCGTCCCGGGTGCTTCGTGCAGGAGGGCGACGACAGCAGCAGCAACAACAATAACAACTGCAACAGCGGCAACAATAGCGCATCCTTGGGCCCTCCGCCCCCACCACCAAGCGGAGGCCTAGGGAGGGGTGAAGAATTCGGAGGATCCAACAGTCTGCCCTTAGGGCCACCTGACAACGGGGCCCCCAGGGGTCCTCTTGGGGGGCCCCCCAACATGGGAAGGCCGCTGTGGGGTGGCAGGGGATCAGCAGAAGCAGCAGCAGCAGAAGCAGCAGCAGCAGCAGTCAGCCGATGCATCGCCACTGGCTCAATTCCGCAGCAGCTACTTTCTTTTCACCCCTCGTCTCCCTCCCCGAGTACGGAACCTGGAGGCCGCAGCGGTGCATTGGGGCCAAATCGGGAAGGGGGCGTCCCTCCTGTGTTAAAGGGCGGCCCTTGTGGGTCTCCTCAGGATTTTTCAGGACCACTAGGGAACATCAGAGGCCCAGCGCTGCCCGGAGGGGCCCCCAGGGCCCCTCCCGGCACATTCCCCCCCGCAGCAGACCTCGGTGGGGAGATGAGTGCAGCAGAGTTGGGATCGTCAGATAGCCGGCAAACTCCGGTGCCTTCAAGGGATATTAGGGGCCCAGGTCCTTCGGGGCCCCCAGCTGGACCCATGGGGCCCCCCGCGGGAGTAGGACCTCTCGATGGACGTTCCTTTATGGAGCCGGTCTTTGATTCCACCAGACAGATTGATGGCCAGCTGTTCAACGCATCAAACATGCACCAACAACAACAGCAACAGCCGCCGCAGCAGCAGCCGCAGCAGCAGCCGCAGCAGCAGCCGCAACAGCAGCAGCCGCAACAGCAGCAGCAAAAGCAGTGTGGCTTGCCGCAGCGGCAACAATTCCCAACGGCCGCGGCAGGTGGGGAGGGCCCCACGAACTCAATTCTCACGAACGAAGCAGCAATGCAGTTGTTGCTTTTGTTTGCGCCACAACAGCTGCAGCAGCAGCAGCAGCAGAACCTGCCCACAGCTGGCAGTATCATGAATGCAGCTAGTCCGCAGCAACAGCAGCAACAGCAGCAGCAACAGCAGCAGCAACAGCAGCAGCAACAGCAGCAGCAACAGCAGCAGCAACAGCGTGCGGTGTCAGAGGCGCTGCTGCAAGGACTTGCAATGGGCGCGCAGCTACTACTGCAGCAGCAGCAGGTACCTGCCGCTGCTGCTCAAAATCCTCTGGCATCTCTGGGGGGCCCACAACAGCAGCTGGCTCTGCTGGAGTCACTGCGCTCTGCAGCAACAGCAGCAGCAGCAGCTGTCCGCAGCAATCCGGAAGCTGTCAGTGTGCCGCAGACAGCTGAGACTGCGCTGCTGCAACTGCAGCAGCAGCTGCAGCAGCAGCAAAACCCTGCGGCACTGCAAGCCCTTGTGTCGCTACAGCAGGTTATCCAAGCTGTGGCACCTGGAACACTGCAGCAGCAGCAGCAGCGACCGGGTCAGCAGAAGCCAGCGCTTCAACAGCAGCAGCAGCAAGTGTCGCAAGCCGCTTCATTGTTGCAGCTGCAGCTGCCACAAGGAACAACTAGCGTGCAGCAGCAGTTACTAGGAGTGCTGTCTGGACAGCAGCTGCAGCAGCAGCATCCTAGTGCTCCTGTAACCGGCGGTGCCCTCGTGGGTTATGAAGGGGGTTTGCCGCATGAGTCTCAGCAGCGGCAACAGCAGCAGCAACAGCAGACTGAGCTGCAGCCGCAGCAGTCGCAAAGCCACGGACGAATTAAGAATTCAGTAAGGGTCATTTTCCACTCAGTGTTCAGTTGCGTTGGCAGCGAAATCTTCAGCAACAGTGTAGCATATGCACCGGCATTAGCAGCTGCAGCATTAGAAGCTACAACATATTTTTGTTTTTGTTTGTGTTTTCTGCTGCAGCTGTTGCTAGAGTTGTCACGTGTGCCTGAGAGGCTGTTGGACCCACAGGAGAACGACGCGGCTCACACATGGTGCTATTTAGACGCCTTTAACAAGGTAAGGCAACTTGATTTGCATGCATGCAACGGGCGTGCATGCATGCCAAAGGCATGCATGCATGCAAGAGAGTGTTGGTGGCAGCAGACTGTAAAAGAGAACCGAAAGAAGCCGATAATTTAGATATCTTGTGGGTGCGCTTTATCCTGCGTGCATGCATGTATTCATGCATGCATTTACTTTGCATGCATGCAAGCACGTACGCATGCACGGCGCATCGCTGCTTTGCCTCATTGTGTATATTCCTTTGCGCTTGCAGTGTCAAGGCCCGTTTTCAACGCTTACGATGCTGCAATGGCTGGAGTTGGGGTATTTCGACTCTACGAGGCCTCTTCGTCGAGATGACGAGAAAGGTTTTACTCCTTTGCTTGACGGATCGCGAATAAAAAGAGCAGCTAAAGATATTGTCCTCTCAGCGCGCAGTCAGAAACATGTACTTAAACCCTAAAGCTGGCCCAGTTCTAGGGCTGCTAAACCCTCTCTGGGAGCCTCTTATTCAAGTGTTTCGTGCTGTGTTTGTATTGAGTCACCGATTGCAGTCTTTATAATGTTTAGCCCCAACATCTCATCGGTTCTGTCTTCTTCTTGTGTGCGGCTGGTTGCCTTGGGGGCGTATCTCTTTCCTGTGTGCACGGGCTCGCGTAGATGAGCGGTTGGGCTGCTGTTTGTACTTTCTTGCATTGAGTTGGGGCACTTTTCACTTTTACTGTGTGCACGCAGTGGACACATATATATAGACATATATATATATATATATATT